AATTGTAAACCCTCTTCCCTCCAACTTCTCGCTTTTCAATGAGCCCCTCACTCACTGCACGGTGTAAGTGCTTGTCATCGTAGAGTGGAAATAAAAGCAAGATGACAGCTGAGCAGGGGCAGATCAGCTCGTTATTGTTCCTCTTGTCACTCAGGAGATGATTTACAGTCACATTTGTGTGTTTCTGTCACTGACAGCTATTATCTGACCCATAAATGCGGCTGCCTTTATTGTCTGTGCATGCATGCATTCGTGCTTGGACAATCTGATTACTGATGGCTACATTTGATTTGAAAACAAGGAAACACAATGGCAGAAATGACTAATTGTTTTATTTGTTAAAAATCTCATGACACATACATTACACTCACACTGAGCTGGTGTTTGTGTAACTGACAGACCACTACATAACTACACACTCAACTTTTCCTTCCCCCAAGAAAGCACACAGTTTGAAGAGATGAGGATAAAAGAAGGAACAAAAATATATATTTTAAGGACGGAAGAATGACCAATGTATGCCTAATTGACTTACTGGGGCTAAAATGTGTCTTTATATTGGCTAATTTTGCATAAAAATGTCAGAAATTGTAAAAACAAACTTGTTTTTTTTTTTTAATCTGTAAGGGGAGCTGAATCTGTTATAAGTGAAGTCTGGAGATATTACATGAAACATATATATTTTTAAAATTCCCTTATGTGATCTCTGCACTGTTTCACTCCGGTCGGTTTTGCTTGGGATGATGGTTCACTTCTTCTTATTCACAATGTTGTTACAAATCCAGTTCATCCCATCCTAATGGAGAAATGAAGACAAAAGAAAATGATCCAAACGATCCAAGCATGGAAAACAACACAAAACCATCAAATTAATCACGTTAAAGACATCACTGAAAGAAACAGGGTCTCTGTTTCAATTGATTGTGGGCCCAGTGAATAAAGGAGGGACATGCAAAGCATTTGTTGCCAATTAGATTCCATCTGAGGGAGAAATCAATAAATCAAAGGCAGGTCTGACCTGAACTCCCTCGCCAGAAACAGCAGAGCAGGCCTGAATCTGCCACTCGCGGTCCCGGTACGTGTGCAGGTTGAGCCCCTCGGCGATCTCGCTGGCCGGTGATGCTGTGGCCAGATCCTGCTTATTGGCAAAGATGAGCAGCGGAACGCCTTTCAAATTCTCCTCGTCAGTCAGGTCGGACAGCTCCTGCACATACACACATAGGTGCAACTTTTGATTCTATTTTGTGCACAATATGGTATCTGCTAGCATTAATACTGTTAGTAATAAGGCTGTTAGTAAAAGGGTTTACACACTCACCAGCCCCGTCTCTTCAAAACGCTTCTTGTCCGCACTGTCAATAACATAAATCTAAAAGAAGAGACATGTTACAGTGTTATCATATCCACATTTTCTGAAAGTTTACATTTTATTATCTGCAAGAAATTATTGTTAAAAAATACTAGAGAAGAATGTGGTCACATCATGTCCAAAACATGTAAAAAAGTGTTTAATCTCTGCTTATATGTGGGATAGTGTCCTGAGGGTTAAAAAGATATTAAAATAACATAAAACTTCTCTACTTTACTGTGTTATTGATTTAAAATGGCTTAAAGTGACCTACTCACCAACAAGTCTGTGTTTTCCAGATACTTTTTCCAGAAGGGCCTGATCTTTCTTTGTCCTCCGATGTCCCAAACGTTAAGTTTCATCCCATGGGAGGCAACACTCTTTATGTTGAAGCCCTTAAGAAAAAACACAGCACCTAGAGTCACTGCCCTGCCTTCAATTTAAAATCTGTTTCCACCTGGAAAGGTAATTCATGACGCATCACTGTACTTGATCAGTGGTTACACTCAGTTGTTTATAAGGATATGGTCGCTCTTCATAACACAACACCTCTGTTTCAGCTGGCAAAGTTGTATAACAACTTTATCCCGAGGGCCATCCGAGGAGCAAATCTGAGGATAAGACTCGAAGGATCAAGGTAAGTGTATGTGTTCATGTGTCACGTCTGATTTAGCTTTGTGTCGACTATTGCCATACTGGACTGCGTCCTCCCTCCCTGGTGTCTGATGAGCTTTCACACTTGCCCAGGACCGGACCTGGCAGTACATCAACTCAGTGTTGACTTGTCTCCGTAGAGTAATACAAGGTCGTTAGATAACGACATTAGAGCTTAGATAAATACATCAGAGGGAGATGAGAGAAAAAAAAGAGAAAAGGAGAGAAAGAAGCAGTCATAACGCCAACCAGGATGTTCTCAGAAAATGTGTGGAGAGCATGCAAATCAACAAGGCCATGTCGGGCTACAGTTTATCTCGCGATGAAGGATTATTTAACAGTGTAACAGCGTGATCTGACAAATCTGGTTAAAGCATGTGTGGTGTGAGGCCAATGATTTCATTTTAATGTGTGGGACAGGAAAACAAGGGGTCATCTGACTCTCATTACTTCGAATGTGCTCTGATTTAGCAGATATTACAAGGTTAGACACGATCCTCTCACCTGTTATGATGCTTGGCTACAGTATCATGAAAATACAAACCATCTTCCAATGGTTTGTATTTTTAATTAGATTTTAATTAGATTTTATTACATTTATTACATTACATTTAGTATTCAGAAGAGCTTTAATGGTAAACTGCTTATTAACAAAGTATTGATGGAAAACTGCTCACCTTTTTTCACTTGATATACATATAATAATGAGCATCGACTGTTTATGTTAAAATTGAATTGATTTAAACAAGAAGATGAAAACACAATGATCACCATGTGTTCTAATGTTATAGAGCGGATGCACACTGCTTTTTGAACACATAACGTCCTCTCACCTGCGTTGGCGTGATAGTGTTCACATCCTCAGAGGCAAGGCTTTTCAGCAGGGTGGTCTTGCCAGCGTTATCCAATCCTAGAAGCACTATCCTGACCTCCTGCTCTGTGGATCCCTTCAGTTTCTCTATGACAGAGAGTAAGCCCTGTGGAGAGGCATGGGGGCAGGAGGGGCAGGCAGAGCAATAAGGCGAAGAAACTGTCAAACATCGACTCCTTCAGAACTGAATAATAATTCAATTAAAGCATAAAGCCAGCCAACTTTGTATGTAAATGCGAGTAATTAATACAGTCACAGGCTAATACAGGTTATTAAGAACTAAACACAATCTGAGAGTGCATCTTTAGTCTGGGCCAGTGAACTGCTTTGTAATTTAAAAGAAAGTAATCCAGACTAAAGTCTAATGGCTTATTCCTTTTCTCTTTTTTCTTTTTCTTTTTACGAAGTTTGTGAAAATTCAGCTCTGTAGTCTTTACATAATCCTTCTGAAAAACAGAAACCAAATGGCAGCCGTCACATTATTTTGTCCCAGCCCTAACCTTTGGAGGCAAACAGAAAATACTTATGTACAATGCTCCCTTTTTTCTTGGGTGCATTGTTTCTCTCATAAAAAACACAACACTAATCACACTATTACTATCCAAAAAACAAAATTACATGAATAGACAAAAATAGCTTTAGCCTCTCAAAACAAAATCCCACTGACCTCTTTCTGATTTGAGGTCAAAGCTGCCCTCACAGAGGCCTACTTATTTTTGTTCCTCAGTTTTTGAAAAGACTGTATTGTTACCACAGACACCCTGTGAGGATCACTGTGTTGCTTTATTTAGAGAAGCACTGGTGTAGAAAATAACTCCATTCATATAGCTGTACATTAATGTGATTAGTCTGCAGGGTTGCACAACTGCAGACAGTGCAGCAAGGCTGCCATATTGTTGACTACAGGCACCATAGTTTTCAACATTTAATTTGCGTTTCTGGTTAACTGTACAATAAAGAGATTCCATTCAGGAGTAAAATCTTAGTTACTGTTCTGTGTTAACACAAAGAGTTCAGATAATACATCGTGTCTGTGAGCTGCAAAGACACACAACACAACCGCAAAATACTTTATGTCTCATAGCCCACTGTTCAGGTCACAGCTACTTGTAAAACCTCTTTTTTTATGCAGACTCATAAGGTTAGCATTTGAGTTTGTAAGTCTTGCTGCTCCAGATCAGGTCACCTACCTTTTGAGCTTCTCCCATGTTGGCGTGTTTCCTGTGGCGTGGCTGGAGGGCTACAGCTCCATTCTCCAGTGAAGCTCACACACAGGTGTGTTAGCTATCCAGTCACCCAGCTATCCAGAAAAGGGACCAGCAGCCTCTGTCTTTTTCCTTTCCTTCTCAGTAAACCTGGGTGGGTTACGTGATGTGTTTATTTGATAGTAATGTCTACCTGGACATGAACTGCTCCTCAATGTAACTGTAGAGTTACAAGAAGGAAGAGAGGCAGGGCGTATGGGACTGGGATTAAGAGGCCAGAATTAGCCCTAGGCATCCATGCAAAGGCAACCCCATCCCCCTCCTCCCCCTTCCTCTGTCCATCCCTCCGTCTCCACTTTGCAGTGGCTTTACCTGGATTATCCCTTAGCCACCTGTTATAGAAGGAAACTGAATAAACAGTCCTTCCTGACCCACTCATACATGCGGATAAATAAGTTTTTGCCATATGGCCGGGAGGGGATCTCCCCCCAAAACACTGCTAATGCCAGGCACTCTGGCAGCATGAAGACCGAGCTTAACACATAAACTTCAAATCGTTGCATCCTGACATTGAATCGAGGCACCTAACGCTATTACTATGTTCATAAGTCAATCTTCAAATCCCACATGCATCCCTCTCATGGATAGGAGTAGACAGCATTACACTCCCATATATCCATTACATGCAAGCCACTGTAAAGCTGAGCAGTGTGCGCCACTGTGAGTGGAGCATTCAGCAGGATTAGTGCGAGCATGCCAATCCTGTGTGTGGATTAAAACATTTCTAGGTTCTTTTTTTTAAAAACTGAGCAAACTAACAGAAATGCAACGCTACATTGTGTAAAAGTGTGACTTTAACTGATTAAACACGCACACATGCACTCAAAAACAGAGATTAAAGAGTATTTATTCAATTTGTGAGCATGCAAAAGTCTGAAATATCAAAAAGATAAATATATATTATGTTGCATAAGATCAGAATTTATTATATTAAAATATGATAGAATGTTTTCTTTTTAGGACTCTCTGGGTGTGATAGGATATGGCCCACCAGCAGCCTGTCCAGCCTGTCTCTGCCTCACCCTCTCCCTGTGTTTATCTGCAGAGAGAGAGAGCATTCAAATCAGTCAAATGTGTCATTCTGAGTTCTGATGTGTAGATAGATTCAAGATCATCAACAATATTGTTCAAAGTTGTAACTGAAGGCACCAGCCTGTTAGCTTAACCTCGCACAATTACTTGTAATGCGGTAAAAACAGCCTGTTTTCACCCCGACATTCATAATAAGCATCAAAATTTGTTATATTTTATTGATAGTCATGTCATGATAGTTAAGTTAGTGAAAACTAGAAAAACCTCTTTCTTTCTTATTGTTGTCTAATACCACAGACATCTTAAAATGAGCTCTTACCGCTGTCTCTTTTCAGCTTACACTTCATAATCAGTCCCATAATCAAAACAAGGGCCAAAGCTGCAACACCACAGACCACCAAGATGATCACAGTGTTGTCTGGACAATGACACACACATAGACAAATACAAAGGAAGTGAAGACACATGGTATCAGGGGCTGTTGATAGCATGCCATTATACACATTTCTAAAATCATAACATATAACAGAAGTATACAGATGGATGGACTTACTTTTTGTAGACAGCGTGTATGGTTTAGAATCACAACAGTAACGGGAGCAGTTTACTGAGCAGATGTATATGTCAGAAGTTGAAAGCGCTTTTTGGATAAGAAAGGTCTTATTGTTTTCTTTTTGTTTGACCTCCTTATTTTTCTTCCACTGAAATGTCACAGTTGAATTTCCACATTTTTCATTGCATGTGAGAGTGACGTCGTCACCCTCATTTGGGCTGGATGGCTCGCTGCTGATGAACACTTCATCTGATGGGCAGAGTAAACATGAAAAGCGAGGAAAGCAACAATAAATAATGTTAGGTAATTAGAGTGTGCTCTGTTATAACCCATTGCTTCAGACAAAGGTATTCTCAAATGTTACATTCAGTGCATTGTTTAAATGTTGTTTCTAAAGAGAAAAAAAATGAAGAAGAATGAATACTGTCACATTCAGCATTATTAAAAAAAATGAAATTTAAACGTAATATGGTCGACTTTCTTTATTTAATTTTAGAGATACACAATTATCAAAGAAAAAAAAGCTTATCAATATTTAATTTATATTTCATTTTAGTGTCAGACACAACCTTAGGCTATTATCACACCTCTCTACCAGTTGCAGTCTATTCAAGTTCACAGGATTTATAAAAAACAAACAAACAAAACAAATAAAAACAAAGTGAGGACTAACCATTGCACAAAGTGCAGTTTTCACATAGCACATAAGTATCTATGGGAAAAACAGATGAAAAAAAATAACGTCAGGAACATTTTTCCAATGCATCTCATTTTGCATTTTATTGGCAGGCAATGTTCAGGCACATTAGCCACGACATGACATTTCCAGATATACAATTTTCCTTTTCCCCCATCTGCCATAGTTTGCCCTGTGATGGTACATTTTAAAAACTCAACAGTAACACAGGCAGTCAGTACCAGCTACGATATCAGGATATAGAGCGAATTATTTAGAGCTAAACTGGCACATATACAAACAGAGAACAAGAAAATATAGACATATATACATAAATGTAGGTGAGTGCTTACCAGAGAGGAGATAACCAAGCATGAGATAAATGATAACCATTCTCTACTAGAACAGACTGGATTCACAACCGTTAAGAACAGTCTGAGAAATTAATGTCATTAATATCTAAAAAAAAAAGAGCATATCGAAAAATAGGAAGAACAAGTTTCATAGCAATGAAATACTTTAAAACTTTTAGACAAAGCATTAAATATATTTTTAAAGTTATACATATAATACGTAATGCTCTTACCTGGATTGCCTCTGACACACAGACCAGAGTGATGACCCGCTCTGCTTTGCTTAACTGAATAGTCTTTGCATCAGAAGAGGCACGGCAAAACTGATTCTAAACACTGATAGCAATGCAAATATATTCATCCCTGGAATATTATAGCATGAACAAAGCAGCTGTTTGTTGTGAAGGTGGATGTGACGACAACGATGACGGTAAAGCCGTCGCTGCTGCTTTCATGTAACATTGAGTGACATTTAGGTCAAAATGATGAGATTTCTTCAGCTCTGAACAAAACACCCAAACATAAGGACACATGCTGAGAGATGGAGCTGTGCTCTAATATAGCCTGTTTACTTAGGCAAACTACCCTCTGCCTCTGTGCACACAGTTTATTATGACACATACTAAGATGAACTTTTCTAAGAATTTGGAAGAATAAATCCAAAATGATTTAGTTTAAAAGGCACCTCAAAAATACATTACTGCCTTTTACTGAAATCATGCATTACTTTAAACAGTGACTTATTCAAACAGTGGCCAGTAGAGAGTGCTGCTGATCACAAAATCGTATTCATTTTTTTTCTGAAGGGCTCCCGTGCAGCTAAATGGTCTACCATTGCCAAAACATGTTACACACTGCTAAAGCTAAATGCTTTACAGCACATTCAGAGACTGAATTGAATAAAACCTCTGTTTTGGAAAATGCATGCATACAAACCCACACACACACACGCTGGACATGCAAACTCCACACAGAAATAGAATGACTGGCTTTGCATTCAAATTCGCTCTGGGTCACCTTAACCAAAGTGACCAGATGGTAAATAAGATGAACATGGTTGAGTAATGTGGCCCGTTGCTGTTTACATTCAATTTGTTTAGTCAGCTTAACGTTAATCAAAAAATTCCCTTACTGTGGCCAGTCTCGATAGATACCTAAACTCATCAAACACAACAATAGAAAACAACAGTTTATGGAATGATGACACAAGGCTGCAATTTTGCTATTCCATTTCCCGTCAAGCTCTTTATAGTTGCTGATAAGAAATAACAATGAAACGGATTAAGCCACACTCTAATTTTCTTGGCCTTGTACCAAGCGATTAAAGAGAAAACTGACTTGTTAAAAGGAAGCGATGTAGGAGAATGTGAGCAAACTGGTATTTTCCCAGATGTGCTCAGGCTGCTATTTGTGCAAAGTGAGTCCATTCTACATGGACCTCAACAACCTTTCAAATTAAACAGCTTTGGAAATAGTTTTAAATGAATTTACAACTGTTTTTGAGGCAAATATCAGCCTGCAATCTGTGCTAATTAAAGCACTTAAAGCAGCTCTAGTTAAAGTCATAACTTTCTGTTTTTGAGTGTAAATTCAGGAAGCGTTACAAATTAACCTTTGTTTCCTCTGCTTATAAATTGCATAGTGAGACCACTTGGCTTTAGAAATGTGCATAAGATAACCATTATTAGTCCCACACGTGGGAAATTTGTGTATGTTTCCTTTCAGTTTTAATTCTTCCACCAATCAGTCTCACTTAATACATCTCTGCTGAAGTTGATCCTTTGCTTTTTATATACCACACATTCACTTAACGTGATCAAGCTACTGTATAATCCTCAACATTAACATGGTACTTCGGGAAAATTATCTATTACTGGCTGCCTAATGATTCATACACTGACGGCCTACGACATCCTGTAGTGTTTCACAAAAATGCCCTGTGGGACCAGGAGGTGCCAAATGCATGAAATATGCATGAAATTCTCGTGCTAGTTAGTGTAGCATTTTTTTGGTAACAATATTGTCTCTTTTATTATATAGCACATATGCTAACATGTTGAGTTGTTTTTCGATAAACCACTCTCATGAGTTTTGCAAAACACTTAAGTGAAGAGTTTTTTTCATGTTATTGTTGCATTTAATGTGTTAATTTAACAGCACTACTAAAACATTACAACTCAAATGTACTATTAGCTACTAAGTACTAATAATTAGTATAGCTAAGTACTATCAATTAGTATGGCTAATGTGATATTATAGCTAAGTAATATAAATTCCAACCTGCCAAAAAACTATCCCGGGGGATAACCGCCAATAATACGTAAAAGAAGAAGAAGAAGAACTATCCCGGGGTAGAGAGCCGCTGATTGTCCAGGCCTGCTTGTGAGCATGTCAGGGCTTAATTAGTTAAGTAGCACCCAATTGGCTGTAGATGTACATTTATACAGTCACGGTAGCGCCTGGCTAATGTTGTCTACACTGTGTTCTGTTCTGTATTTTCTAGTATCGTGAACCATGGTTACTTTCAGCGGAGTGTATAACAGGTTTTCTCGCCTGGCAAAAGTTGCAGCCCAAAAGCAGCAACGGAAATATAACAAACTGTGCGCCATAGCCAGCAGCATCTTGGGCAACAACAAGAAGGTATGCCACATACAGTGTGAGCTTTCGGTGCATGTGTGACTGTGCAGTTTTAGCCTGAGCGTTATCTTGAGTCATCTGTTTGCAATAGCGAGAGAGTGGTACTCTGATGATTTTTATCTCTTATCATTTCATTTGAATCTGCGCAAAGCCATGTAACGAGTTTTGCTTTCAGATGATCCAGAAACGTGTTAAATGATACCCTATAGCAAAATTGGGCCTATAGCAAAGAAAGGCTTCTTTCACGAGGCCCGTTTGAAGGGTAAGACTTGAAATGTGTGTGCTTTAGGCCGCAATGAGTTAAAAGTAAAACCGACAGATCCTGAAACCAAGGTCTAACACTAAATCTGCAAAATTGTCATGTTTATTTAGAAAGATAGAAAGCCAAAATAACCAAGCGTTTCATTGACTGCGCATAAAAAAGCAGAATGACAGTCTGGCTCGCCTGTGTACCCACATCACAGTGTTTCTCAAGATGTAGGCTGAGAGCAGTTTGATCATAGTAACCATACTTCCTCTTTTGTGGCTTGTTGCTATGGTAAGACTTCCCTTCCAGGCAGGAAGTGACAGGAAGACCCAAGTGATGAGTTTTGTGTGTGAGTGTGTAAGGAGTGTGCATCAAGTTTGGGTGGAGCACTCTGCTGCGTCCCCTGACAGTGTGCACATCGTAGGACTTCAGCTCTGAAACTGGTGTCTGGGCCATCATGGCGAAGAACAGCAATTCTTTAGAGATCCCTGTTGGCCACATGGTGAGTTGGCACCATTCTTGTTAGGTCTTATTTGGTTCTGTGGCCGTCCTGTGGACCAGTAGTTCTTTGATACGCTTGTTACGTATACGATAGGAGGCTTTGACAGGCCTTCCACAGTGACTAGTCAAACCATTTTAGTGTTGAGTGTGTTGACTACGCTTCTTGTAGCCGTGCAGGCACTCTAAATCTCCCTGTATGCTGTTTTGATCTGCTTTTTAACGGTGCTGTTACTATTAAGCTGACTTCCAATCAAGAGTACGGTTTGAGCAGTTGTCTCGTGCTGGCTTGTGTTTTGTCTCCAGTCTTTGATAGTGCCAGAATCAGCCTGTGTGGCTACACTTGGTTGCTACTGAGAACAGGCTGGGCCATTCTGAGCCAGAAGGAGAAACTGAGCCATGCCTGTTGTCCAATCTGTCATGTGTAGGCTGAGTTGGCTTCAGTGTACTCGGTGTGAGACCATTGCATTTCTTGAAATGGTTCAGTTCTGCCAAAAAAAGGTGTGAAAATGTATCAACGGATATTAAGTCACAAGAGCAGGATGTTGCCGTAGTCTTAAAAAAAGGGGCTTTCTGTGGCTTGCGTTTGATGTCTGCATTTTGATATCGCTCCTTTAATAGATTTTTCAGAGAGTTAAAAGTGCATTTTACGAGAATGCAAGGTTTACAGCTAAGACAGTGACGAATTGTTTGTTTTCATTAGTGTTTAGAAAAGGTACTATTGACTATGAAAGCAGTATTTGCATAGCAGAGCAAATAACTGAAGAGGTGGAGTCAGAGAGACTCACACCTGCAGAAATAGACAGCCCATTTTAACCGTATATGGTCAAAATGTAACAATAGACAGGAGCTGTTGTCACGATCAGTTATTTTTGGTTACGACCCACTCTCTGCTTAGAGTGCGTCGATATATAGATATATCTATATATCGATGCACTCTAAGCAGAGAGTGCATCGATATGTAAATATATCTATCTATAGATAGATATCTAGATATATCTATATAGATATATCTCAAATGAAAGCTTGTAGCAAATGTCAAGCATAAAAGGAAAAAGTGACGTATTAGAAAAATAAAATGCTAACTTTCTATTGTATCGACACATGAGGAGCTCTACAAGCGAAACCCATTGATTCTGTTTTGGGAATTGAGCAAACTGACCTTTGATTAGTGGATGATTTGCTCCTCTTCCTCAGCCTGTGTCGCCTTGGTTATGTATCTGAATTTCACTTTAACTATACAATGTAGATGACCAGTTTGGTTTGTGTTGCACTAATGTAGCTGGGTTACCTTGCAAATTGTGCCTTGCAGGACTTCCTAATCAGCACTAGTTTTAGATGACAGATAAAACTTTATCTAGTTATCTATATCTGGTTATATAGATTAGAAGTGATTTAACATTTGACTAAAATTATCTGCAATGCAACCAGGATTAACTGGCCATGTTGTGAAAAACCTGATGTTTACATGGCCTTCATTAACAAAATAAACAAATAATTAAGAAGCTAGCCTCCATGACTTAAAAAGCTAGAATATCAAGTACCGATCAGGTCACAAAGGTAATATTAAACACAGAATGAAAATGAAAGTAATCTATTCGTAAAAAGTTAAATGCTCTACTTTAAAACAAAGTGGAAGTAACAGTTACTGTGCAGGGTTGTGAAGATATTTGCCTTTTTCTGTAATGTAAAGGATTCCGTTACATTAGTATTATCAGTTAAAAACAACGTGTACTGTTGCTTAATCTTGCATTGATTAAAATGGCACTCACAGCTGTCAGTTATGAAAATGGTACTTTATTTATAAGACCTATATCCTCCACACACTCTGGGCAAGTTGCTACCACACAGACTATATAGACATGTAGACACACACACATTCACACCTTTGGGCAATTTTAGAATCGGAGCCCACACGTCTGTGAACTGTGGGAGGAAACCAGAGCATGAAGAGGAAACCTTGACAAAGCTCGTAAATGTATCCATCGACGGTCCCCTATGGATTAAAACCAAAAATTCTGCTGTGAGCTAATTTGCTGCTGTTTAAACAATATTTCCATAAGCCGAAGCTTTTCTGTGTATAAGTCAGATCAGTATCTTGGTGACTTGAAAACATGTTTGTGATCACAGCTTGTAGGTTACAGGTGTTTAACTAGTCTGGAGATTTCATTCAGTTTCTGTAAAAAACTGTGTCGGTTGAAGCGAACATTTACAAGATGTGCATTTTCTGTGCTCTGAAAGCTGAATGAGGCTTATTGTCACCAGTTTTGCAACCACTTCCTGTAAAAACAGCCTTGGCTGATTGCGCTACAGAGTTACAGGTTGGAAAAAAAAAAACAAGAAGAGAAAAATAATGTGCAGCTGCTGTTCGTGTTTCCCTTCCTAAAGGCTTTTATCGTAGTGCTGTATAGTTGTTGCAGTAATATTGAGCTGTAGTGAGAATCTCCACAATCCTGTGTAAACGGGGCCAAAGTAAACTTTCTTCTTTCCTTTTGACTGTGAAGCCTGAAGAAAATATACGTAGGATAAATTTGAATAATATTATCAGTATTATACAGACAATAACAAAGAGTATTCAGTATTAGGCTTTTTCTCAGTTTTAGTTTTAACTGTTGAAGTCAAGTTCCTTGACAGATTGCTCTCTCTGTTCACAGAGCCAGGCAGTGTCAGATGGAGGTAAGCATGAGCAGCCAACCTGCATGCTGCTAATCCTGTACATATCTCAGTTCTACAACGTGAACATGTCTGTGCATGAAAATATCTGATTCAGTCTCACTCTTGGTCATGCTTTTCTGTGCTGATAAATGGGCGTGTTTGTGCCTGGATATGCTTTAGATTTGAACATGTCCGCACGCGGCTGTGGCGGCAGCAGCAACAGCCTTCCTGGGACTCCAGCCGGAGAGCACGGCCCAGCCAACAGTGTCATGAGCTGGGCCGTGTCATTTGAGAAACTGCTGGAGGACCCTTTTGGGGTTCGTTACTTTACGGTGAGGCAAACTAATGTTGAAATTTTTAACAAGTTCAGGCAGAGTTTAAGTGTTGACATTAACTAATCATTACCCATACCTAATAATGCTGTGTGTGTGTGTGTGTTTGTCTGCAGGACTTCTTAAAGTCTGAGGTGAGCGCGGAGAACATTTTATTCTGGCAGGCTTGTGAAAAGTTCAAGAAGATTCCGGCCACTTCCTTGGATGAGGTACAAACTCTCTCTAAACTTTTTTCTTTTATGTATTTATTTTTAATTAATACTTTGTTGCAGTAGTTCTTGTACTTTGGAAGACAGAACTACTGCAGGACCAGATGTAAAGTATGGAGTGAAGTAAATACGATTCTTAAAGGAAAAATTAACAAGAGTTTGATCATGAAGTTGTGATGGCCTTCAACTTGGATCATATTTGATGGGTGTGGAGTGTGGATTTTCCTGCCTTCTGAAGTGGGATATGGCAGGAAAAATATTTGTAAACCACTACCCTGATAGCACACATTTGTTAAAACATATGTTTTGTAGAAAAGAAGTGGACTGTTTAGTGGGAATAGGGTTGCCTTGTTGCTGTAACCGTGCGTGTCTCCAGCAAACAGAGGATGGCAGTGCGTCAGTAATTCAGTAATATTTTAGTTGCTTTTCAAGTAACACAAGCATTTTTCTGTTGTAATTTTGAGATGATCCCTCCAATAAGTCATTTGGTGCACTTTAACTGCTGACACTAACTTTTAATTGCATCAACCACAGTCAAACAGCCAGAACCTGTGCATTGTTAGCAAAAAAAAATAGATCTGCTATATGATAATTTTTATGGCTGTTTTTGGAGATTTACCTTGTGAAACAATGTGCAGAAATTGTAAGTATTCAGTTATTAAAAATGAAAAACAGGTTTGGTGGGAACTACTTAATTTTCCATTTTACAGAATGGTTGTTACAGTTACCAGCTGTTGTAGTTTGCTCTATAAACGTCTTTTGGCAAATATATTGGAAAGCAAAGTTATGTAATGCAAATGCATCATAATTTGGAGGACATTTGTATTCCTCTATAACAGTTTATATTTAGTGGTTACAATGAAAACATGTGTAAACCCCATCACCAGGACCAATGTGTTAATATCCACAGTAGCTCATAATTTAGAATATTCAATGGGATATAATATTGTGTTACACAAGTAAACTCAGTTTTACCATTTGACTGTGGCTGACCTGAATCTTTGTTTCACCTCCTGTGGAGATTATTTCCATTGGAGATTGACTGAGGAAATAGAAAAAGTATTGAAAGGATCCAAATAGATCATACATCAGCCATAATTATGTAGGTGAAAGGTTTACCTTATCCTTTAGAAATCTGTATGATTTACATCAGAGAACCACAGAAAGGTTTCCTTTAATTTATGCTACATAGAGTGTGCTTAACGCTTAAAGTAATACCACCTTGTAATTTGGGAGCTTTGCAAACAATAAGTGACTTACTAGAGGATTTGAGAAGGTGAACATTCAAATGAAATCCACAGGGAAATTAACAGAGTGTCTGATCTTACTTGTGCCTCAGCACTTCATGAACTGTAATTAAGAAACAAAGTTTAGCTGATTGCTGACCTTCAGAATAGTTCAATCTGACAGAGTTCTTGCTGTTTTTTCCAGCTGAAAGCAGAAGCTCGCTCAATCTACAGCACCTACCTGTCTGAGAGTGCTCCCTACTCTGTGAATATTGATGACACAGCAAAGACGGAGGAGAAGGACCTTCAGCAGCCTACACCTGACATGTTTAACAAAGCTCAAGCGCAGGTTCGTATGAATCAATCCTACTACTTCTGCGCAGTAATTGTGATTCATTTTTGACCCACAGATGACTGTGTGCCCCCTCTCGTTGCTTTGTTTCAGATATTTAAGCTGATGAAAATGGACAGCTACAGGCGCTTTGTACGGTCCCCTCTTTATCAGAGCTGCACTTTGGCAACAGTAGAAGGCAAAGGCCTACCTCGGCTCTCCAATGAGTCTCCGCGCATGGGATCCTGGGAGGATGTGGCCTCCAGAGTCCCCTTAAGGGAAAAGAAGGTACCGTATTTTCCACACTATAGGGCGCACTTAAAATCCTTTAATTTTCTCAAAAATTGACAGTGGGGCTTATAATCATGGTGTGCCTTATGTATGAATTCTGGTTGTGTTTACTGACCTAGAACCGAATTTATGTGGTCAAAAATCTGTCAAATGTTTTAGTACGACTTTGAGCTATGAAGTCAGGAGCCTCGTGGATTTGGAGTAATCTGGGTCCAAAACTCCGTCCACTTCAGGCCCCAAATTCAAACGATCACTGTGGCATCACTGAGAGTTAAACTGTCCAAATTATTTTATTTTTAATAAAATGATCAGTTGCTGCTTTACCAGGTGTAACAATTAAGTTTAACATTCAGGCATCCATGAAAACAGAATTTATTAAATTTAACATAGTTAGAAATTAGCAGGAAGTTAGCTCGCTAGTTTCCACCTAAACATGATATAGCATGTTCTGACTGAGAGATTTCTGAAAAAATAAAACGTACAGCTCTGCTATCACTTCTAACATAAATGAAAACACAAAACTAAATAGCAGTGACTTTTGTAGCGTTGCTGAAGTTGGGCTAGCTGGTATATAATGCTGTGTTACATGATTGCTAGCGACACAGCTATGTTAGCATAACATAAACACAGTGAAGCTGGAGGATGACGCTAACTGTTTTCTACTTGATAAAAGTTAATGTGAGGGTTCTCAATGGTTGGGGACAAATGCAATCGCATGGCAGGATGCTGTAAACGGACCAAACTTCAGTCAGGAGAACAACTGAGATAATCCATCCACAATACGAGGTTAGTCATTAGTATACTGCAACAACATGGGGATAGAGCAGCTGCAAGAGAATTCAACATTAATGAATCAATGGTATGGAAGTGGACGATCAAGAAGGATGAGTTGAGTAAAGTTTGACTTATCTGACTGTTTTGTTTCGCTTAATGCGCCTTATAATCCAGTGTGCCTTAATTATGAAAACAGACCCATTCATTGACAGTGCACCTTTATAATCCGGTGTTCCTTATGGTCCGAAAAATGCGGTAGATGGACTGAAGGTCGAGATGAAGAATACCTGTTTTATTATTCGTTTGACATTTATTTCATCGCTGCCTCCAACAGGGCAAGAAGTCAGACCCTAACAGCTTTCTAGGTGGTAAGAGTGCCTCAGAGAAACAGCGACAGAAACGAGGATCCTGGGGAGGTAATGTGTGCCAAATGACACATCTCATGCTTCTGTGTTATCTTATGTATGTCTTCTGACTTTATTTATTTATTTATTTTTAATCTCATCAATAACAATGATTCCAACTCCTTTGGTGTGGTTTCCTGGAAAGAGTCCCATTTGGCCATCAAGTCGACCAGTAGTGTGGAGCTTGGCTCCATCTGCAGGCATATGGAGGTCAGTACATTTATAAAGCATTTAGAGTTGGCTGGAATTATGGGAAATGAATGTTAATTTACAATTTATATGATTGGAGGTATACAGTTAACAAAACTAATATTTGAAGTGACAAGTATTAGAATAGAGGAAAATGTGTGATTGGGATTACACTTTTCTCATTTCTCTGTCTGTGATGTAGAATGGTCGCTCGAGTCCCTGCTCCCCTGAGCTGGGGGGTGGAGGTGGGAGTCGTGTAGGATTGGAGGGGGGATACTGCTGTGTCTACTTGCCTGATGGCAGTGCCTCCTTGGCACCCACACCTAATGGCCAGCCAATCAAAGACTTGCTGACTAGCCTTTGTGAGAAAAGAGGCTTCCCACTGAAAGATGTTATCATTTACCTTCATGGCAAGGACAAGGTGAGCACTTTTGCTGTGCTTCAGCTGCAACTTTAAATCAGGAGGCATTTTTGAGGAACTTGAGCCACACTGTAAAGTTGTTTACAACAGTGAGCATGACAGACGACTGCCTTCTTCCTGTTCTGACATTTTCATGCTGTGTTATCTCACCCCCTCAAAGTATCCCCTGTTGATGTTCACATCTATAGAAATCCCTCTTGTTTCTTTCTGTTTGAAACATCATTTCTCTCTCTGCAGCAACCATTATCGCTGGACCAAGACTGCTCTGTACTGAGAAATCAGCAGGTCTCTTTAGAGCTCAGAGTGACGTTTGCGTGAGTCAACTGAATCACTTCCTTCACTTCCTATTTTCTCCTGTCTTTGACACCATAGCAGGCTTGCACACCCCCACTACATGTCACTTCTTACCATAGTAGAGGGAAGTCCTTGTGATAATATGCACATAAAGTCTAGCTCTCTGAGCATTATTCTTTGTACTCTTCCTTTACATTGACTAAATAAAATTCAAAATGTAATCAGAAATGGGTTTCCTGCTAAGATATCCCTTGCCAGCTACCCTCGTGACTACAGACATTGTCTGACAGTAATTCTGTACTTCTGTTCCATTGCATTTGATTCAGTGTGAGAGGAAAGTTATAGAAATAAGTGTGTGTTTCAGGGTGGAGATTGCCTTCACTGGTAAAACTGTGGGGATCATGGTGAAGTCTAGTAAGACACTGCAGGAAGCTCTCTCTGTGGTGCTGCAGAAGCACAATATTAAGCCACAAGAGGCCTTGGTCACCATGGTGAGTGTTGCATATGAGTAGGATTATAATATGTTACCTTTTTCTTTGAGTCATTTCCATATAAAGATTAACAATATTGTCACTTTTAAATGAATGATTGATTTTCTGTAGTTGAATTCTACCGACAAAAATATGTGAAATGCCTTTTAAGCTTTGATCTATTAGGAATAATCAATGTGCATGTTTACCTATATAAACATGTAATTTCAGAGTGTTACACCAGTGATTATTTTCAATATTATAATATCAATATCTATTTTACATATTTTTCAGCCATGTATAGTCTAGGATTATTTTGAACTATAGGTCTTGCAAAGATACTCAGTAGAGCAAAAAAGCTGGAAATGAGCGTCACTTTTAAGGATGGATTTCAAAATCTGTCACTAAATGAATGGCACACCCTTGTTGGCGTTGTCATTGTAGCTGCATTGAAATGTGAGAAACATTCAAGTGTGAGACTCATTTCAAAGTTTCACATTACATTTTTTGAAAACTTGCTTTACTTAAAACCTTTATCTTTCTCAGTAATGGGAAGCCAGCTGCACAGAAAACATTTTCCAGCCACGGTTTCTTTCATTTCTTATTACAGGAAAGAAGGCCTCACACAAACATGTAGATCTGTTTGCAAAGCTGCTACATTTTAATGAGTC